GTTTGCTGAAGGATCTTTGGTGTGAGTGTTGTTTTCTTGAAGTATCGTTGTCTCTGAAAGATTTACAAAGCGAGTTCTTCAGCGATCACTGAACATGCTCAGTGTATTGATCGCTGGAACTGAAAATACAGAAACTAAAATACATCGAAAGGAAAAAGGGATTATCATCAAATCAATGAGAGAGAGGATCAACACATAGGACTTTACCCTTAATATATTATAGGTGTAATGAATCTATTAATTTCATAATTAAAAGTAGAATTGGTAAGTAGACATTTACTCTTAAAAATGGGCATTTATTATGATACAAACTAAAATAGAAATTTGGATACTTGGGGTCCACTATATGGAACTGTTTTGGCTGGTTAAAATTCAAGCATATCTGAACCGTATGAAATTCTGGCTTATTTCTATAGAAAGATATCGATTCTAATTTGGCCATTGGTCTTGTTTTGTACTCCTTCCGTTCCAAAATAAGTATATGCTTTCCACTTCTACCTTTAATTATGAGATGAAAGAAATTAATGGTTCCATCTGTTAATTATTAAGGGGTATAATTGTCAATTAGTTAATTAAAAAGTGTAACAGTCGCACATTCTTCATTTATTTTGGACGGAGGAGTAATTCGTTAAGCAGATACCTACTGAAGCAATTGATCATTGTGGACATTTATTTCATGGATCTCAAGTTTCAGTCTGTCAACAATATATAGACGTGATCACAAATTATTGTTCTATGGTGGCTGAAGGACCTACTTAAAGCTCCACAAGCTAAGTTTCTTGTGTCTGAAACCAAAACAAACTCAACATATCTTACTCCAAGCAAAGTCTAGTAGAGGTGATGTATGCAGTTCTATCGTAAAAGGTAAAGCAATTGTTTTTGTAAAGACACCCTCTTGGGTTTGTTGTCTCTTACCTTCTTTTTGTTTATGTAGGGACCATTTACCAACACAAAGCGAGTAAGTGCTTACTGGACCCTCACTTATCTTACTTGATATGATTGGTATTCAGTCATTAAAATAGCATATTATAAGGATTTCTTATCAAGTAAGAGTCACTACTCGCACTTATAGGGTAGAGACTATTGTTCAGTAAAATGGCACAATAAGACCGTCATATCTAACCGGTAAACAACTGCAATAGCCAATAAGTGTTTACTTACTTAGTAAGAAGTGATACAAGTTCAAATAAACAACCATGTTGTCCATATTATGGTAGATGTTCTTTCCATTGATCTTACTACATTTTATATCTTTCAAAATTTATTTGTTTTTCTTGCTAAGCTTCTTACCATACAACTTGAAGCTATAGCACATCATTTCTTTGACGTTATTCGACAACCTAACGCTTGATTACCAAACGGTCGACAATTACCGCATCTACTCGACGTCAAACATGAGGTACATTTTTAGATATTGTGAATCTTATGACATGCCTTTGGCCAATCGCAACAAACCATGTGACATAAAAACTTTAAGAAAAGAAACTGATGGGTCCCTTTAACCTATCATTTGAAGCCTGGCCCGTAACTAGTCGGTACAAAACTTCCTTTAACAAGTTGGGGCCAATCTATCAATGGCCGGTTATAATTTAATAAATTCTCATAATTCCTAATCATCAAAAGTCAAAATCTAAAGGAGTCGTTTGGTTGACGAAATGTTTTCTCTGATCTAAATGCGTTTTAAATTGTTCAATTTTTCTTAATTGAAAATGAGTCAAAATTTAGGGTAGGACGACTTAAATGTTAGATGGCATTTATTTTTTTTAAAACAAACAACCCTCAATTATATGATCTCAGGAAACAAGATATTACAGGGACAAACCACAGGAACGAAACCGTTTTAGAGGTTGACTTGGAGAGACGAACCACATGATTAAGATTGATTTAGTGATCCATTGGCTTTGCACTTGATTTGGGTCGATATCTTCTTGAGATAACCGGAGGCGAGGGTTTAGAACACGATTGTATTGAGTGATTAAGAAGAAAATAAGAGATCTGGTTACCATTTTTTTTCGAGAGGACTTTAAGAGATAAGAGGTCTGAAAAAAAAGTCAAAAACAAAAAGTTTGAATTATCAAATGTCTAACTGAATCAGACATAAATAGTAATTAACAGATGAAAATAAAATAACAAACAAACAAGTACTTGGTTAGAGCAAAAGTTGGGATCCACATTGTAATTTACGGGCTAGCAAAGTGACCAAAGGGCAAGACCAATTGAATCAATCAACAACTTTGTTTGCATCGTCCTAGTCCTAGTCCTAGTTAGGTTAGGATCATAAGTCCAAATGGCTAAGGTTGGAAATTTTTTGGCTTGCAATCATGCGTATACCATATTTGACACGACAATAAACTATAGGACCATAACCGAGTGGATTTTGAGAGGACAAAATTAATACTGAATTAAAACCTTTCATAATTCATTCACCTGCCTACCTCAATCTCGCCAATCCTGTCTGGTTCACATACGAAAGTAGAGTGAAATATGATGATAAACAGGATTTGGTAATGATAGCATTACAAATATAGACAACAAAATCATAGGCTCCAACTCTATCATTTACACAAACCAACTTAAAACATAAAGAGCTACAACAAAACATAGTGGGTCAGTCATCCATACTTATAGAAGAGAGAACACAAGTATAAAACCCTTAAAACAGCCACTCTTTCCTTCTGGCTTCTATTTCCGGGTTGATCGGTCGGTCTTTCTAGCTATCCTTGACGCTTTTCATACTATAAAAACAAATTACACAGCTTCTCCTTCCTTTTTCTTTCTCCTGTTGGCCGATAGAGATAGAGATAGAGATAGAGATAGAGATAGAGGTAGAGATAGAGGTAGAGATAGAGAGAATACAGTAACGGTAGTAGAATGGCAAATGGCCGGCCACCTTAGTTGTCGTGAAACAAGATATGATGCGGCTGATTACAACCCTCTTTGCAAATCACTTGGCATAATTCCACACCACATCATCTCCTCTTTTATGTCCCAACAGCAGCAGGTTGTGGTATAATCTGTACACCAATTTGCCTCTTCACATGATCTGGAATTAGCCTATTCACAAGCTCTGGTGATGCTGCAGACAACTGGAGTCGACAATAAATATGATTTAGTAAAACCCGACAAAATAAACCAAACGAGCTCACCTAAAGGTGGGGCTAGGGTGGGAGGTATGCAGACCTGACCTTCTCTACCCACAGAGAGTAAAGCAATTGTTTCCATGAAAACACTCGACAAGTAACAAGCAGCAATTCTTCGACTAAAGCATCTTGCATGTAATGTGTATTTAATTCTAACCCTCTCTCTAAAGAACCATTATGTTTTTTAAGTATTCAAATCTTGGTATTTGGTCATTTAGGTATATAACCTTAAATGGGATTTTAATTAAATCCATAACCTCCTGACCTATTAAAGAAAAAATGGCTTCATACTCATTTAAGGTCATATACCTAAACACACCATCTTTTTTTTTTTCTACAAGACGAGGAAGTAGGTTCACCCTTTCATTAACACAATATCATCCACACAAGGCATATATGTAGGACATGAATAATATTCTCTCTTGGGAAGGCAAGGTATATCCAGTCAGAAAGCATGATACAGAAAACATTTCAAGGACAAAGATTTCGAATATCTTGCTATCAAAGTAAATATAAAAAAAATATATATGAAATTGGAAACCTTCTAAATTGTTGGCTTCTTTTAGGAGTTATGAAGATGATAGTTCCACTTAGTAACAGATTTTAATCTAAAATTTGTGCCACTCCATTTGTCATAAAAACCTACCCATATCGGCCATATCTAGAGGAAGCTGAAGCCAATGTTTATATTTAATCTGTCCCTCCTAAACAATTAAACTATTCACTTCACTTTGCTTATTTACAATGATTACTTTCCATGCCAGTCCTTACCATTAATATGATTCCTTCTAGACAAATGGGGGCAAAAGTGGTATGTCATTCCAATTATCCAAACAAGTGGTCCAAAAAGTGGGTCATCAACTTAACTTTAATGAGGTAAAGTAAAGCCTTTATCCAAAAAAGAGTTTTCTGAAGAGGGAAAGTTGCAAATAATTAGGACAAATTGTAGGAAGTGCATCATTAGTATTTTAGCAATTTCCCCATGGATGATCATCTTAGAATTAGCCTACATTTTGAAATATAATTCAGTAGATGAGAGCATCATGGCATTTCAAGAAAATCAACTCCATCCCTATGCGTTACTTTTAAACACATGATGAAGCCACTTTACGTATGTTGGAAGTTACAATTGCACGCCTCGGAATTGAGTTCATCAAAATTATTTCGAAACAAAGATTAATTAGGCTTCAAATACAAATCTAGACCTGGGATTCATTTTCCGAAACGCTGCCCTAGTGGTTTTTTTACACTTTCATATCAGTATCTAAAAATTGGTACAATAGCTGGAAGGCATGTTTCAAGCCTCAAGATTCATGGCATCTAAAAATGTACCTCCTGTTTGAAGTTGAATAGAGGTGGTAATTGTCGACCGTTTGGTAATCGAGCATTAGGTTGCCGAATCTCGTCAAAGAAAGGATGTGCTATGGCTTCAAGCTGTATTATAAGAAGGTTAGTAAGAAAAAAGAGTAAACACATAGATACATGGAATAAGACCAATGATAAGATCATTGACCATGATATGGACTCTACTTGCACAAAAAGGAAAAGGTAAGAGACATAACATTTATAGCAAGTGCAGCTTTAGTAGGGACATCAGCCACCATAGAAGAAAAAATTGTGACCATAGATATTATTTACAGAAATAGACAGTTTGAAACTTGAGATCCATGAAAAGTGTGGATTAGTAAAACTCACAGCATTGCAACGAAGACTTGGAGAGTACTGCAGGAGCCGTGACGTAAGATCAATTGCTTCAGGAGGCATCCGCTTATGAAATACCTGACACAAGACCAATGGCCAATTAGATTTGGCACATTTCAACCAATATAAACCAAAATTTCCTGCAGTGAAGCTATGGTAACAATTTTTTTTATTAGATACTTCCATAGCCAAACCCATTTAAGTAAAGAAAATTAAGAAATTGATCTCCTGTTCGAAAATGATGCCTGAACGGATTTCATGGGTGTGTGTTGAATACACCGTTGGGAATGTATTCGCCTACATGTTGAGGTAGTATTTATGAGTATGTCAGAGCAGTGGGGGCTGGCTAGATCATAACAAATCTGATCCTTTTAAGACTTTCTTCAATAAAACCAAATTATCATGCATGTATTCTATTGCTCCTAGCTTTTTCCTAATATTATTATCGCCAGCCTGCAATTATCATGCATGTCAAACACCGTCAGAAACTTATTGGCCTACATATGTTGGTGTAGTATTTATATGTATGGCAGGGAAGTGGGGTCTAGCTGGATAATAACAAGCCTGATTCTTTAGGACTAACCATCATGCATGCAATATATTGCTCCTTGCTTTTTCCTGATATTTTCATCACCTCAACCCCCCCACAAAAAAAAAAAAAAAAAAAAAAAAACAGCACACATACACACACACACACCTCCAGCAGCCCAATCCTTATAATTAAAGCAGCCATCTGAAACCACAACACTAGGCCAACACAGTAACTGCAAACTTAAAAAGAGCATTCACTAAAAATCATGACATTCTTACACCTCTTATCATCTACTTGGACATTGTCATCAGTTCTACTCCTTTGATGTGATATGACATGATAAGGCATCATTATATTAGTTTCATATATTTGCTTAATTTCTGGCTTACAAATTAGAAATAAAGAACAGTGCCCTAGATATCCTGGTCAGAACAACAGTTTTAGAACTGTATGGGTAATTGAGTATCATCCACTATACAGCTACACTTATTACACAAGTGACTGCCTGACAGCTGAAAGGAACATTTTGACATCGACAATGATTGAGACCCAAATTCTACTTGGAAAAATGACCTTATGCACCATCTTGGAGAAGTAAGATGGTAAAAAATCAGAGAGCAAGAGCTATAATTTCTGCACTACAATCAATAGGTGAAATCTCTCACTTCCTACTGAAGATTCAATACTGATTTGATCACCATTGATAAGTGTCTTGTAAATGCTTAAGAGATGCCCTTTTGTCTTATGCTTATGCTGGCTTTTGTTCCAAGAATCATAAAACATATAGTTCTCTCCACATAGATTTGAGGAACATACATCAATAGCTCAGTGCATCTACTTGCTCACTCTAGGAGCATAATTAACATGCCAAGGGTGGAACGGTCACAAAACAGATCACTTGAACACGGGGAAAAAATGGCTGGCATATGTGACAGTAATGAAGTAAAATCTAAGTCCAGAAGAGGACTTCATCCTCCCAGAGTACAAGGCAGATTGGAATCATCATCACATACGCTACAGTGGGACTAGAGTAATAAACAGAACAGAGTTATACCTTGTGCCAAGGGTGAGCCTTTACTTGCGGAAACCTAAAATCAGTATAGTTTGGATTCATACAGCGAAGTTCTTCTCGAGTTGGTGTGCCCAGGACCTGATAATTGAATGTAAGAAGCTAAAAACTTATAACATGGTTGACCATGTTTAGATAACAAAACCAAACCTTAATAATCTCTACAAGCTGATCCACTGCATTTTCTCCAGGAAATAGTGGCTAAAAATTCACAAGACAATAGAAATTCAGTATAGTGAGGTTTTCAAATGAAGAATTTCACAAAGCTTTAACAGTTTGAGCTGCTGACCTGCCCAAGAAGAAGTTCAGCAAGAATGCAACCAGCCGACCATATATCAATTGAAGTTGTATACTCTGTAGCACCAAAAATAAGTTCTGGTGCCCGATAAAATCGAGAGCAAATATACGATATATTTGCTTCTCCCCTCACCTGATGACAGCAAAATTATATGGTGAATATATGAACTTTTATTGTGAAATGCTGCATATATATAGTTCAACAATATAAAAATGACAAAAAGAACTTCTATATTAGAAAATTAAGAAATTTAAAAACTAAAACACACATATCATAGACGTTGGCGATTGCTACCATTGATAATCGCTCTTGAAGAGTTGAGACTAGAAAAATTATGGCTTCCATTGCTAAATAATCTATCACCAGGTACCATACAAAGACCTTTCAGTAACTAAATGACATCCTATTAATGAAAATCTATACAGATCCCAGAATCAGTGACAAAGGTTAGAGTATCAAAAAGTAAACATACTAGCATTTTTGCACTTCCAAAATCACAAATCTTCACTTGGTGAGTAAGAGGATCAACCTGTGGAACGACAACTAAAACAAATGAGGACAAATGATTTAAAACGGCATGCCAAAAGAGAAGACTCTAGTAAGAACTAAGATGTGTTCACACCAGGACATTCTGAGGCTTCAAGTCCCTGTGGCATACTCCAGTAACCATATGCATGTATGCCAGCCCCCTAAAAATCTGGAATGATACTCGCATGTTAATTCTTTAAACAGAGGAAACAAATATGATATGAACCCTTTGGACGAAAGAACAGAACTAACTTGATATGTGTACAGTTTCACATAAATGAGAGGCATCCTTTGACGTGCATCACTGTGATGCTTTAAAACACGAAAAATTGTCTCTGGGACATATTCCATCACTAGGTTCAGAAAAAGCTCATCCTTGCTTGTCGTTGAATAGAAACAGTGCTTCAAAGAAACCACATTCGGATGATCCATTGTTCGCATTAACTGCAACTCACGATTCTTGTATCTTCTGTCTTGCAAAACCTTTTTTATAGCCACGGTTTCCCCAGTCTCTAGACATTTTGCCTAGAGTGAAAAAAATCAGACGAAATGAGATGTAGAATTCAAGTTTATACGGCCATATGAGGAGCAAAAGCAATTATATACCTGGAAAACTATTCCAAATGATCCAGCCCCAACAACACGCTCGGCCATGTAACTAACGGTCTGCATGGAGGATCATCGCACAAGTAAATGGCTGGTGAAAGTTAATGAACTTGAACCAATTACTAAAACAAAAACAACAGCAACAAGCCTAGCTTTCTATCCAGTCTAGTTGGGGTAGGTTAGAAATGAAACCAAACCAAATTACGGAACTGAGATGCAAAAGCAAACATAAAGAGGTGAATCACTAGGTTGCTGGATCCTATACTTGAACAACAACCCATCTAGAGTCCAAATAAGTATAAGCTCAGGAAAGGGCATGCATATGAAATTATCAAGTATGCATGCATATGAAATTATCAAGTATGCATGCAATTATTAAATCTTCACCTAAAGAATTTCTAAGTGACAAATTCAGTGTAGGTCCAGATAGAAACTGAACAAATATTGTGGCATACCTGCTTTGGTTCTCCATTCTTGCCTCCGATTGTGGTGGATATGATGTGACCGGTTTCAGCTCCATTTCCATCAACAACCTGGGTGGACATTTCCTGCACCATTTATCAAGCAAATATGTTGGACATGCACTTATTACCAACATTCATGGGAAATAAATGCCATATTAACCGTTGTTTTATCTACTTTGTTCTCAACGTTACAGTTAAAGGTTCTTTTTCACCCATGAAGTGTATCATCATCATCATCATGTTAATTTCTTCTGTTTTTCCAACTTCTCCATCATAATTTTATCATGTATAATGGAATTATATTTATCAAACAATTGGAAAAGAAAAACATAGATGGATCTCTAATTTCAATGGTTACTACAAGAGATTGAATCCCAATTCAAACAGAGTCAAACTAGGATGAGTTTTGACCAAGTCATGTCTCAAACATGGTTTTGGAAAGATAAAAGAACAGCCAAAACAAGATACTTGTTGATGATTTTAAGTAATCTAAAAAGAAAATAAATAAGGCATAATATCAGATCAGCTCAACAAATTTAACGTAACCAGATTACTAGAGAAGCATAATCCAAAAATGCAGATGGTGCTCATGCGAGAAACTTTAGGAATCAGAAAAGCAGACAAATCAAATCCATATAATATATCATTGATCTAATAAAAATTTAACTAGATCGTCGCAAACCAAATAGAAATCGCAATATCAGAGACCCTGAAACCCTAATTAATGAACCCTAGTCCACTTCATGTTAAGCTGCTGCAAGAGTTTCACATCTATATAACAAAAGTAACCGAAATCTTGCCCTAATTTAACAACTCCAAAAAATTCCAAAATCAGTAACCTATTTCGATTCTTTGAGCTAGAATACAAGAGGGTTTCCTTTCTTCATTTCCTTAAATTTTCTCAAAATCGGAAGAACATAGAATCATAACTTTACAACAGATCATAACAAAAATAGAAGAATTTCCTACAAAAACAAAGAATTGTACAGAAAGATGTTTATACCTTATCATCAGCCATTTCTTTGTTCAGACGATCAAAATGGTAAAGAAATTTTTTCCTTTTTTCTTTAATTTTTTAGTTCATAATTGGTAGAGAGAGAGAGAGAGAGAGAGAGAGAGAGGCCCCATCAGACAAACAGCTCCATGTGATTACAGCTCCTCTCTCATTTGGTGTGTCTTGAGATAGAGTGAGGAAGAATATTACTAGGTCCCATACATTAGGTTTTATTATAGCCCTGAAATTACGAAAATGCCCGTTTATCGTTGTGTAAGATGGGCTCTTTGAGTGGGTTATCAAGGGCAAGTCATGGAAAACTTTTGTGTTGGGCTTATATATCAAGTATAAAAAGGTGTACCGCGTCACATTTTGACTCACGACTCATTGGCTCATGTTTGAAAATAATTGGTTTCGGCAAAAATAAATTGATTATCTATATTTTATATTATAAAGTATTTGACAAAAATTTATTTTTATGCTTAAAATGCTATTTATTAATGTATATTACTTAAAATTCAATATTACAAGTAGATTGTGCGTAAGTACAACTTATTAAAGCTCCATATCTGAATTTGTGTAACTAACTGCAGATAAACATGATCAAATACAGAATAAACATCTTATTTTAAATATAAAAAATCTAAAATATAATTAAGATAATCATTGAGTTCTAACAGAATACTTAATTATTATCTTTATAAAATGTTATATTATTAAACCAAAAATAAATTATTTCATTATTAAACTTAAATTAAATTATAATAAAAAAATTTAAAGAAATTACATAAAAAATGAAAACTTTTAAATAGTTAATTTGATATTAACATTAATATATATTTTTTTTCAAAATTTTATGATATCTTTAAATTTATATTTTATTCAAAAATAAAGTCATTATTGCTTTCTTAAAAATACATAAAATCGTATTATAACATTGACATAGACAAGTAATAAAATAGAACATTAAAATCAAGATGTGTCTCGCTGCTGCATTACGTGAGTACTCTTCTAGTACTATATAAAATCAAACAGTTTTTTTTTTATTATCAAATCTATTGATTACTGTTTAATACTTCTAACCAAACATTCTCTTAATTATTTATAAATAAATTAAATATTATGATAAATATTAATTAATAATTTCTTGTTTATTCACAAGTTAATCGATGGATTAATTAAAACTAACTGATAAATTAAATGATTGTTAAAAATATATAATAGAATTTATGATATATTGTGAATGAGTGAATTACATTGCTGGTCCATGTAGTTTGCTCTAAATTTGCATTTTTTTTTTTAAAACATACTATCTACAGCGGTGATCTCTAACATCATAATCCCTCCATTGAACACCATTACGTTAGCCATTATTAGCCCCATCACATGCCACTCATATAAGGTGCAAATCAGTTTTTTAACTTTTCTTTGTCTTTCCCCCTATTTAATAAGGCTTTTTAACATGGGTTACAAGAAACTCTTCAATTACTTATCCTACACTGTAATCGACAGTGAGAACCTCTCTTGATCATCATGATCATTCTTTAAAGCAAGTCATGAACATTGGAAGCAAGTAAACATTTGGTTGAACTATATGGCAACTGTGTGAAATCTCGGTTACAACCGATTATCTCAAAATATATGGTATGTACATAAATGATGGGTTTTGATATATTTTTAAAAGATTTGATTTTCTATCTAAGTTAGGATTTTAATTTGTTATTTACTATTTTAAATGTAAACCACATATTATTATTATTCTACTTCAATCACATTGAAGATCCATCATGGTGGAGCTTTTACGAAGTCTCAAAGGAGGGTGTACGTAATGATAATATTCAGTACGTTGATTTGGTGGATACTGATGAATTTGTTGCTCATGAGTTATATACGACGATGATGATGGAAATAGGTTATAGAAAACCAGTGCCTATGTTTTATCATTTTTGGATTACAGAGGCTGACTTAGAGTTTGGTTCCCATGCTCTAGGCAATTACTAAGATGTTTTGAACTTTTTAAAACATTTTCCTGAATGAAAAGCAGCTAAATTGATGTGAAACCTCCATGAATAAGCTTGTTGTAGGTTCTTGGATCGAGATCTTCTTATCAGTTCTGGATGAATGGTAATCGGATTACATACTTCATGATATTTAAATTCATCTTCATGTTGTTTAGACCATGACATAACATTCCCCCGCTCCTTTTGTATGATCATAGTTTCTCTTATTAGGACAATCCTTGCTAATGACCTACCCATAGGCACTTCCAACACTTCATATCCCTATTTTACCCCTCAGGCTCTGGCCCTCTCCTTGGAAGTAGAACCTGTCTTTTCTTTGGCAGCATCATAAGTACTCATATTTCTTTCCTCCAAATAAGCTTTTTTTATCCCCTTTCCAAGTATTATTAGAGTTAGAAAAGGGTTTGGAAACATACTTTGTTGATCCTCTTCCTTAGAGTTACTTCTCCACCTTATAGCAATGTAAACCATTTCATTAAAGTAGTCATAATGTTGCAGATCCACCTGTTCGAATATCTTCTTATTTAAGCCCGCCAGAACCATGCCATTGTGACATATCAACCCTAGTCATGGATCATCTCCATCTCTTTGTAGAAAATCATCGACGCTCCTACTTCCTTGTTTAAGAACTTGGAGTTTTTGACAAGCTCCCAATGAAATGTTTAATCACACGCTTTCTCATTAACGATTTGAGATCATACAACGTATCAGTTGGATACTCCAAGTTTCTCCTTCTACTCGTCACCAAGTGATCCCACCATGTTTTGGCATAATCCAAAAATTAAGTAACCACCTATTTAACTTTTTTCTCATCACTAAAGTGACGACAATAAAGTATGAGTTCCAATTGTTTTTTCTATTGTAAGTATTCATTTGGATATGTTTTTCCTTGAAAATGAGAATCTTATGCTTAATGCTTCCAAAATTTCTATCTTCAAGATCATTGATCATCGAATTCCCGAAAACCTTGACCTCCTCGACCTCGATCTCTTGGTAATCCTCTTTCAGCAAAATCATTATCCGCATCACATATTATCATCAGTTTCATCTTTATTATGATGGTGTGATCCCTCTTCAACAACTCATAACTCAAGTCTATGCGTTCTAATGTCTCAATTATGGTTGCCATATTCGATTGAAATGTGCAAACTCTCTTTGTCGAGCCATTCGAAGCAATGGTTCATCAACATGCTCAACATTAGGATTTTCACCACTGGACATTTCTCTAAAGAAATATAGCACAACGGGAGATGTGAATAAGTTTTTATCATCCTGGAGTCAAGCTATTTTTTCGTAGGGTCACCTTACATCCTTGAACCGATAACTGTCATGCTTCTATTTTTCTAGATGTCATTCAATAAGTATGTCCGCAATGCTTTTGTCAAAAAAATTGTATGTTTTAGTCATAGTAATAAAATGGCCTCTCAAGCATTCCCTTATATGTTACACTCAAAAGATGAGGATGTCTAATCGTTTTAACAATGATAAAATAACATTCTTACAGGTTTCTTCACACCAGTCTAGCAACTATCCTTTTACATTCTTAGGTGAATCGCATCATTTAGAATAGTCCAAGTAGCAAACTGACTTGCAATATGTAGAGTTTCAGAATTGGAAATTCATAAAATCAAGTTTGAAGCAATTAGAATCAGTTCAAGAATTGGAAAAGAGAAACATATATATGGTAGAAAGAAAGTCAAATAGGATTAGAAATAAGAAATATAAGGAACATATCAAATATGATTAGGAAAATAAAGATATGGATGAAATAAGAGATCCCAAGGCGGTAAAAAATAGAAATTGAATCTTAAGAATTATCCCCCAACCTGGAATTCTCTTATTTCCTTTTTCTTTCTCACAACTTCCCTTTTTTTTTCCTTTTTTTTTTCTTAGTTGTACTTTTTTCTTTTGACGATGAACACAAATATGAATTACCAAATTCCAAGCAACTAAAAGAAGGAAATGTTAAATAAAAGGTCTTTCAATAAATTCAAATACTGATAAAAAATACATAAACGAAGGACAAACACAAGACCTAACGAATAAAACAAACTAGCAAGAATGAGAATATAAGAATGAAAAAACAAGACTTGTCGAGAGCCAAAGCTCTGGTACCAAATGATACAAAACTTCCAAGAGTAAGCTTGTTGTAGGTTGTTGAATAGAGATCTTGTTATCAATCCTGGAGATATGGTAATTTGATTGCAAGCTTCATGATCCTTAAATTCATCTTCAGGTTGTTTAGATTAGGACATAACATAATTTTTTTCACTAAAACCTTGGAAGACCAAGCTAAAAACCCATCTAACCAGTTACCTCACCACAATCAAGTAAAGTTGTAAGACATTAAGTTTTAGAGGAAGCATCACTTGAACTAAATAGGTATAAGAACAAAGATGCCGATATTGGGTTTACTTGTTGTAAAATAAAACTACTTCATGAATGGGTTGTTGAATACCATGTGTCCAAAGACATTGAAGTAAGTGGAGGAAATGAAGTGGAAGAAATATGGATCAAATGAGTGAGAGTGGCAAAAAAAGGAGGAAGGACCATTAGACACTAGTGTGGAAAATGTAAATATTGTCCATGATGTTCCATTTCTTTTATCATTTTATTTGGAGCGGAGGCCATTATCAAATAGGTCAAGATGATGGTTTACATGAGGGTGATGGAACTCATTTACAGAGTGTGAGAAAATTGGTGGGATTTTAGATGATGAAAGTGGTGGACATGAGGATGATGAAAGAGGTGGACCTGAGGGTAACGGAAGTGGTGGAATTGAGGATCATGAAAGTGATTTTATAGTTGATGAAAACAATAACATGGATGGTTGAAATGCCCACGATTTGTATAATCTATATTCTCGGTTATCATTTCTATATTTTTGATAATTAAGATTTGAGTAATGATCTTAATTTGAGTAACAAACCTTTTGGTTAAGCTATGGCATCGAAAAGAGAGTAAATCGGGATTTTTTTAGCCAATTTGGGGTTCCTTCGACTTGGCCCGCGACCTGGAGTCACAGTCGCGTATGTGTCTATGGATGACATTGAGGGATGACTCGGACACAATGTCACGCGGCTAGGCCTGTGGCCTAAGTCGCGACTGGAGTCGCTCAGATGCATATGTGTGAGAGGCCTAGTGGACATAGGCGACCAAGCCACACAACTTAA